GCATCTGCGCGACGTGCCAGATCAATTTCAATCCCACTTATTGAATTTCCATTAGAATTAATCGAGCAGCAGTCTCTTCATGCGAACGGATGAACCAACTTCACAACCATGTTGGACGAGAATTTGGATTTAGACAATTATTCCATTTCTTGGCTGGGTTATGAAACTACACTGGCCGAGGAATCGCCGCATTACTTCGAACAACTGTCAGGTTCTAATGAAGACAGGTTCGAACCGAACGTAGCTTTGTTTCCCGATCTCAAATCGATTTACATCAACTTTGAAGAACGGCATAAAACGTGGTTAATTAATATGCACCGAAAAAAATAATATGGTCAATCACGCGATTGACCCGTGTCTCACAAGCCTCACAAGCCTTATTCATAGTAAGAGATTAGTAGGGTTTCAGAGGCTTTTCTTGTAGTCCGTAGAGGTGGGTTTGGGGCCAGAAGATCTTGGCCTGGAGTTTTCAGAGTCTGTGGTGACCACCAGTTTCAGACCAGTGTCAGATGCTCGATATGCGTGAGTGAAGTTCCCTTGCGATTGCGATGGTTTTGACAGTGACATTTACAGGATGAGCTATTAGGAGATAAAAAGCAGCTCCCTCAAAGGTTAATAGGGCAATTTAGCGGCTTTTCAGCAGACTTTCTTCAGACCTCCAGAAACTAAATTTTCTATACTCCTAGAGGTTGAAACGAATTCGTCAATTGGACAAGAAATTTTAAACTCTTTGATACATCTTAATGTGGCGAAGGCATGTGGCGCGCAGCGAATCACCCAGGGTTAATCATGTATCAAGAAATCTGATTGGTAGAAAAGTTCAATATTCTTCTTCAACAATTATGAATCCAGTATATCCCTGAAAAGAAAATGTAGATAATTGTTTCTATTTATAAAAATCGGCTGGCAACAGATCATTCGAACTACCGTGGCATCACACAACCACCAGTCAAAGAAAAACTATTCTTCTGAATCATCCTTGAAAGTCTCGCACAGACGGTTGATTGAAGACTACGCGTAAATCAGGCAGGTCAGACGTTTGGCCAGAGCGCTTTCGTTCTAATCAAACTTCCATTCTTCTAAGAAAAATCTTTAATCAAAGTCGACGATTTCAGTTGCCATTCTTAGAGACTTTCATTGCCACTGGTATTTGAGAACAACATTTAATTCAATGCATTATTCAAAGACGTGAGAAATCTTAAATTATTACGTCATGCCAGAAATATATTTAATAATTTAATATTTCTATTTTGGAAGAGAAATAGACCAGTAGCCATGTCTGCCCTAGAAATCAAAAGGGAACCATCTGAGTGATTCTCTATTAACTGCGCTCTTTGTCAGGTAGATGGACTTCACTCTTGTAATTCAACATTGCTTTAGTTTTCTTTCTTCGAAACAGTGTTGATTTGTTAAAGCCAAATGTGTCATTCCATAAAGGAGGTATAATTCAAGATATCTGGATGTCCTACTGACCTGAAGTATACAGATGATACTCTCCTGCTCAATCGCACAGAAAGCGA